TTAGTCATCGCTCAAGTAATGGAATTCATGATTATCATGTTGTCTTCCATGCAGATGCAACGCTGTCTGTTTCAGGTTATACATTTCAAGTTAAAATTTACATATATGAAGTTATTTAAATAAAAGTAAGTGATGGATTGTCCTGCTAGATAGAATTTTTTTTAATTTATTTTTAGTTGTATTTTAAATTCGAACCTTATTTCTTTTAGTGTAAAATAGAATAGTGATATTGCTTGTAATTAAAAAAATAAACCAAACCTTAATTTATAACAAACTTAGAGATCCTGCTTCATTTGACTAGTTTTAATATTTGCCCAAATGGAGCATTTTAAAACAGAAACAAAGACCCATCTTTTTCAGTTTAGTTGGAAATCTTCTTTGAGTTTTGCAGATTCAATAACATCTGGTACATTGCATTCGCAACAAAAGGAGACCTCTGCGTGTCCAAAAAAAAAAAATCTGATCAAATCACAATCTTGGATTTGCATTAATGCTCACAACTTGGATAATATTTTACTGTTTGACTAATGCTAGTCATATTAGATGCACTTAACTATAAGAACACTACCTCAAATCTAGAATCCCGATGAGTTAGAGATGTAAGCTGTCTAATCTGCTTGTGCAACGGATCTAGTTTTCACCAATCCAACGGGATCCTTTCCGGATCTTTTTGGTGAGGATTTTGAGAATTTGTAAATTATGTTCGTTCATTGTATATCGTGCGATCAGTTTTTGTTAGGTGTTTAATTTTAAATATAAATATTTAAAATAATTTATGATCGCACGATGTACGATGAACAGACACGATTCATAGATCTCAGGATCCTTACAAAGAGGATCCGGTGAGAATCCCGATTCTTCACCAATTAGCCATTCAGTTTCTGCCAAGTGTCATGGTCGTGCAGATGCAGACCAAGAATATACTGGGAGCTTGGTTGGCTTCCTTTTCCAACAATTGTTGAAAAGCTAGCCTTTTTCCATCGAAACAAGCAAGTGGTACGTAGTACATTGCTATCTAGCAGATCTTCATCAATGCAAATCCCGTTGCCTCTGGAGATTAGAAATGCAACAGACAAAAGACAACAAAAGATGTTAAAAAATGGTGCATACTTAAACCCTAATATATAATATAAAAAAACCCCTAATATATAATATATGTACGCATATATAATACCATGTTCACCAAGAGGGCGAGCCTTAGCATAGTAAAAATATTGTTTTTTTGTGATTGAAAGGTTATAAATTTAAGTCGTACATGGAACAGCCTCTTTGCAACAAGGGTAAAGTTGCATGCAAAAGATGTCTCCCCCTTCCTCAATTCTTGCAAGATGGGAGCCTTATTGTCTTGGAGTTGCATTTTTTCTTTATCTTCACTCAAGAGTCAAGCGATTGAATTGAGGTTTTTAAAGATAATTTTTAAATGATGATGATAAGAAAAAAAATGAACCATACAATAAAATGTTATTAAGTATTAAGAATGAAGAGTTTCCTCTTTACTGGAAGTACTAAAATATCGATCCACTTGATATATATCATCTTAAAACCCTCCGATTCTTTATAAATTATATACACATGCATGTCAAATCCCTTTTATGCAGTATCTTATGTGAAAAAAAGGATGCATTAGAACATAACTTGGCAGTTGGCATTGGCCTTTTGATCTTGGACAAGATGAAAATTATAATAATTAATTAAACAAGTTGTATGTGTTGAGAGAAAGAGAGAAGCACTTCCATCAAGACATGGAGATAGATAGATGTAGGAAGGGGGTGATGGTTTGCCTATTCGTTTTCCGACAAGTAAACAAAGGAAATCGTCTCTGCCGTTCCATTGGTAGGCAAAAGCTACGGCAAAGTAAAAAAGAAACAAATCTTTGAACATCATCTCTCTCCGTCTCTCTCTCCCCCCCTCTCTCTCTGCCCAATTCTTTGAATTGTTTTATCAGAGACACCCAGTCAGTTCCACCAACCCAATAAGGCAACAAGACCACACTTCCCGCTCACCATGTGGTGTGGAATGAGTAATCTAGTGCCTTTTTTTTTTAATCTCATATGTATCCCCATTTTCTCTACATAAAAAAACTGCAATATCTTTTTTTATATAATATATAATGTTATTTAGACACAAAATAGTGGAGTTAAGGGATCAATGGATTCTAATGACTCTAATGGTTATGCTTAGGTTTTCACTAATCTCATTCGGTGTTCAGTCTTGACCTTATTATTTAATATTTTACCTGAAATCTTTGATGAATTGTCGTTAAGAAATATCAAAGGTAAAGGAAGAGAGATTAAGGGTTGTGTGGTTGGGAGCTTCTTTAATTATGTTCCGGTTGTATTAAGCTTCACTATCGAACACACTTAACCAACTACATTATTGATCTTTTGAAGCTTAAAAACAAATTTAGGATGTTCATTATCCTCGTAAACCATGAGGCTGCCTCATTTAGACTACTTCATTTCATCTTCTATGGTTTTTAACATCTAACTGTTTAAGCTTCCAACTATTTGTAGCATCCAAAAACCAAGATACGCCTCGCAGTTGTATGCCTGATAACTGGTCTTTACTACTCCTTACCTCAATCCCCGTATCACTTAAAGGGTGACATCACTGAAGCGAGTCTAAAGGCCGAAGAGTGATCCTTGAATGCTTTTATGCATCCTTACTAATAGGAAGTCCATAGCAGTGAGGATTAACAGATAAAGAAAACGGTGGATACTTCCACTAGTTGGGTAGAAGGTGATGACCCTAATGAATCGAATATGAGGGTGGTTGTTAGCTACATCTGTACTCAAATTCTTTCATCGTCCCTGGCATCGATGATCAACCCCGGGCACATTCTGTCTGTCTCACTCGAGGAAGAAGGTTCAACACCTGGATATCCACGGACAAGGAAAGGTAGAGAAGAAAGCATTATCTTATAGAGGCGTAGGTGAGATCACATGTATTATAGCATGTATGCTAACTAGTTAAGCATCTCTACACCACATGTGGCTCTTCCAAGTCAACCCTAAGGCCCCGCACCAGCCGCTACCCTTCGACGAATTCAAACAACATATATACCTGAGAGTGGTATTTGCACTATAGAAATATCACTACCATATCTAACGGCGCCTTAAAAAATGTGGTTAATGGCCAACTCATGGGTCAAAATCCTATTTTATGTTGGCATATCAACTTGCAGGCATATCAACTTGCACTTAGTGCAAATTTAATCATTTTAGCTTTTTTTTTATTTTTTATATATAGAATACATGTTCCTACAGAAATTTAAAATACATCATGATCAAGTGAGAATTATTAAGCAATATATACTATATAAACTTTCTTATTTCATATAGGATTTAATAAGTGTTGAGAGTATCGATTCTATATTGGAAAAATGAGGAATCTTGCATGTGCTTATAAGATGTTGGGCTACTCCTTATATTACTAATTGAATTTATAGTGAAACTTCAATTTCATTCATGGTCTCAAAGCAGGTTGTCTCACGTGTGAAAGTCAACAATCACGTGCTCCACATCATCCGATTTGTATCGTCCACATGCTAGGCTTGAAAATTTGGCATAAGTGAGAGGGCGTGTTGAGAGTATTAATCCCACATTGAAGAAATGAGGGACTTTGCATATGCTTATAAGACGTTAGACTAGTCCCCATATTACCAATTAATTTTATGGTAAAACCTCAACTTCATTTAATAAGTCCTTCAGGTTAATCCAAATGGTACGTGAATGATAGGTCACGAAACATGATAGGGTTCAAGTTCCTCAAACTTAAAGAAACTAAATACATCTTATTTGGTAGTATTCTTCTCTTCCCATACTTTTCTTCTTAAATTGGAGCTTTTCCATTTGGTATCCTTCCTCCTCGAGCTAAAGGTATTGGATTGAATAAATAATACACGACAAATAAATCAATTGACGAGAAAGGTAGTTTATTTCTTCACAACAATCAAAAGGAAAAACCAATGATGGCATGGCCCTCCCCCTCCATTTTAGTAGAACAAACAGCATCTAAGAAAAAGCTTTTTCAGCACTGAACAGCCTCCACAACAGTTCCTCCTTACCGACTAATGCCTTAACTACAAAATTAACCACACGACTTGTCCATGTGGGCGTGGCAGTTTTACTCAAATTCACTCCCTCAAAATTCAAGGAATTGTTCACATGTTATGATATAAATGGACGACATAGTTATCTCTTCTTAAAGTTTTCTACAATTACTACAAAATTAACCACACGCTGACAGTTTTTCTCAAATTCACCTCCTCAAAACTCAAGGAGTCATTCACATGTTATGCTATAAATCGACGACATGGTTGTCTCTTCTTAAAGTCTTCCACAATTTTTTTTTTTTTTTTTTTTGAAATTTTGAGTTTGCCTATTGTAAACTGGAATCAAACTCACACATATAGGAGAAATTTTTAATTTTGACGGGAACATAAGTGGTACGCCACGTGTTTTAATAAAAGTGGTGGAAAATTTTACTTTTTAAGTTATTAACTTTTAGCACACATATCACATCATTTGTATAGTAACACATGATGTACCACTCCGTGTATTGATTACATTGAAAAATATCTCCACATAAAGTGGGGAAAAACTTGATACTTCTGAGTGAATTTAGTTTTTGAGTAACATACATGCCATGAGTTTGAGTCCCATAAAATCGTATGCCACTATACTAAAGTCACATCACTTACGTGTTATAAAAATCGCACTCAAGTAGCCTGATTGATATATATGAGAATCAAACTGACATAAACTATCGTGAAAAGCTAGAGTAATTGGTGAGAAGTTTTTTTAATGTACTTATCACTTTGCATGGTATTACCATACTGTATCATCTACCCATATCATAAAACATAGTCAAATCAAGTAATAATACATGTGACCATCGCACAAAAAATTACTTGCCATCTTTTGATTTTATTTAAATTTATTATTTATTTATTAGACTATATGTAACGCCCAGAACACCTCACGAGCTTAATTTACATTTACAAAAGCTTTAGCCAGAGCTTTCTTCTTCCATTATTTCCATTATCTTCCTCTGTCCTCTCTCTCTCTCTCTCTCTCTCTCTCTGCAACTCCCACACTTCAGTTATATCTCTTCTTCTTCTTCTCCTCCTCCTCCTCCTCAAATTTAAACATTTTTTTTTTTGGTCTGACTAAACATTTTTGTTTAATTTCGCATAAAATATATATTCATGGCACTTGAGACTCTCCTTCTCAAGGTGAAGACGGCAATCTCCCACCGTTTTGATGCCGTACGGACCTCCCACCACCTGCACCACCCACTCAAACCGGTAAGAAAATCAAACGTCGGCGTCTTGGCCTTCGAGATCGCCGGCCTCATGTCGAAGCTCATCCACCTCTGGCAGGCACTGTCAGACAAGAACATGATCCGCCTCCACAACGAGTCCATCTCCCTCGAAGGTGTCCGAAAGATCGTCTCAAACGACGACGCTTTCCTCCTCGCTCTCGCCTGCGCTGAGCTCGTTGAGAATCTCCGCCTCCTCGCCAACTCAATCTCCCGACTCAGCACCCAATGTGAGGACTCCCACCTCCGCTCATTCGACCGCCTTTTCCTCGAGTTCGCCAACTCCGGCCACGATCCGTACAATTGGGTGCTCGGATTTAAAGAGATGGACACCAAAAACGTCAAGAAGTTGGAGAGGTATGTGACGATCACGTCCAGTCTCCACAGAGAGATGGACGAGCTCACCGCTCTTGAAAGCGCGCTGGGCAAAGCGTGGAAGTACAACGAGTACGGGACTAATCATTCCGCGCCGATGATGAGTAGTACTAAAGAGCAAAAGATCGTCGATCTTCAGCAGAAGATCGGCGATCTTCAGCAGAAGATCGTGTGGCAGAGAAATGAGGTGAAGTATTTGAAGGGCAGATCATTGTGGAGCCGAAGCTTCGACACGGTCACTTGGGCTATGGTGAGGTCGATTTTCACCGTTCTTGCTAGGACAAAGCTCGTTTTCGGCATCGGACAATGCCCGCCATCAACGTTGCCTCGGAGCCTCTCGGCTTCGGCGACTGTCCATCCGTCCAACCAAACTGCGTGCCATTTTGTATCTGGCCCATTGAGATCCCCAAAGCTTGATAAGGAAGATAACATAAATTCTCTATACAAGACGTCTGTTGTAAGTACTACACATCAAGACAATAAAAGTTCTCTATGCAGGACGTCTGTTGATATGAAAGACAGTGCGGAAGACGCTGGGTTTTTCGAGTCCAACTCAAAGCTCCTGAAGCCACCATCAAGCACGTTAGGCGCAGCGGCGCTGTCACTACACTACGCCAACTTGATCATAGTGATGGAGAAGATGATCAAATTCCCACAAATGGTTGGCGTCGACGCGAGGGACGATCTATACTCAATGCTGCCGAGCAGCGTAAGGTCTTCGCTACGCGCCCGGTTGAGAGGTGTCGGGTTTTGCGCAAGTGATCCGGTGCTAGCTGGCGAGTGGAGGGAGGCCTTGGGGAGGATCCTAGGGTGGTTGGCGCCGTTGGCGCATAATATGATAAAGTGGCAAAGCGAGAGGAGCTTCGAGCAACAAAACATGGTGCCGAAAACAAATGTGATGCTTTTGCAAACTTTGTTTTTTGCAAACAAGGACAAGACCGAGGCTGCCATAACTGAGCTGCTTGTGGGGTTGAATTATATTTGCAGGTTTGAGAGGGAGATGACGGCTAAGGCATTGTTTGAATGCAATAACTCCATTAATGGCTTGCTCAATTTGCAGAGTTCTAGCTAGTTAGTGAAGGAGAGAGAAGAAGAATCACACTTTTGTGTTTATTTTAGTTTATATTTTGGATTTCAATTTTGATTTCTGAAATTTTACCGTTGTTGGTTTTGATTGAGCTGCGTTTTAGATCCTCGAGGGTTCCTTTTGGTATCGAATTCTCGTTTGTATATGATGAAATAAATAGATATAAAATGTAAATGATTTGTTCTTGAGATATTTGTCGAAATCAGAACCAGGAGATTATGAATTTTGAGAGTATTGTTCATGCATGATCATGTGAAAATATTTGTTGATACTCTGAACCAATAAATATCACAAAATATAATTTCAAAATAAGATGAATATTTTCCAGTGGACTTGTAATACATGCGTTTGGTTACGAACGATTAATTAAACAATTAAACTCGACTACCATATAAATTCTATTTAAACAAAATTTTAGATGCAAGAATAAATGCTTTTATTAACATTTTAGGTACGATCCATAGCTTGGGTACCATACAAACAAAAAGGGGTCATATAATGAGATTGGTAGTAGGTGGTATTTTTATTTTCTTTTAATCAGCACAGGGAATCTTCTAACACTACTTCATCATCATTATTGGCCAAGACTATGCGTTTCTTTGATTTATTTCAAATCTAATTTATTATAACATAAAGATTTTTTAGGGTGCCGAAAATACGGTTGGAACTAGCTGTATCTCTTGCACGAGCTGTATCTCTAGCATAGGGAATGCGTTTCTTTGATTTATTATTCTTATAAAGTAATACAATTGATTAAAATTTAAAAAAATTCGATTAATGTATCATGATATTTGCTGTAACGAACTATATTTCTAACATACTTAAAATATTTCTCATTCCAATGGTAGATACTCGGTAGTTGGTACTGAATACTTTATTAAAAAGGACTCCCACTTAAACTCTGATTTTAAGTAGCCTTTTAATTTTCGGTTAGAGAATAATCTAGCCTTTTTATTGTGACCACTTTCTTTTATTTTCCTCAGTATTCTATTAGGAACAGTAGATACAAGTAAAAAATTATGTCAAAGTGGAATTTTTTTTTCAATATGATCTCTCATTATTCAAGCACATTTTCTGCTTATAAAAAATAATTTTTTGGTATGGAATTTGTAGCTTAATAAGAGTTTGCAATTTCGAGTTTGAATTTTTCTTCTCCAATATCAATTGAATAAAAAAAAAACTTACTCTAATTTACGAAACGGTCGAAATTAATTCACCTAACTTACATTCGCAACCGCAAGACGATAAAAAAATGAATTTATGCAATTGAATCATATAAATCCAGGAAGGACTTCATGTGAACATGTGAGCTGAATCTCTAACTCTCGGCCAGATCCAAACACTAGAGGACTAAAAACCAAACACACAAATTCAAACAAATAGAATAAAAAAGTGTTTGATCCTCCAGCTAATGGCATTTTGCTTATAATACATAGTGAAATTCATATAATTGCAACGATGCATTGCCCCACTTGTGTGTGTGTGTGTGTGTGTGTGTGTCTGTAAGATTCTTCATTGACATTCATGTGATCAACATATTTGATATGTGTTAAAGCACTTCAAATTGAACCAATTGGCATTTAAAGACAACATATAGCCTATAGGGCATTGAGTGTGTTTGTTTTGAATTAAAAAATCGAATCTTCAGATTTTTTTTTCATTTGTACCGATACGAATCATACTGTAGGAGGGGCGGATTAAACACATAACCTCAAGGGAAAGAAGTGTTTGATTGATATGTTCTGAGCGTTTGGAGAGTACTGAGTGTTTGATGTTCTTTTACCGGCTAAGAGACGGATTGTTTCTATGTCATCGATTCCATTATTGTGTATTGACATGTTTTGACACACCCCGACTGAAATCAAGGCGTGACGGCCAACACGCCTTGATTTCGGTGTGTGTTGGGGGCTCAAAACGAACAATATCGTGCTACGGTGAAGTCAGGCCCGAGAAGTGGTTCCGCTCGGGCCGGGATATGACATGTTTTGATACACCATTGACAATATCGATATTATATTGATGGTTTGTCCATTGCTTTATATAAATCAGGCATCATGCATAAAAAAATTGTAATAACTAAATTTCTGGTTTGATTGTAAGCCAATTAACTAAAACAATTATGATGTGTGTCAATGTATAACTAATGACCAAAAATCAAAAGGAAAAGAATTATAAACTTGAAATTGAGCAACTAAACTAGACAATGATATGCCTCCTAGATTAAGTTGATCACCTAAAATTCTAAACCCTCCAAGCCAACTTATCACCATTGCAAAGAGGGTTTTGCTTGGTCAAAAGATCTTGTCCAGTCTTCTTGTAATCCACACAGCATGAGTGTTCTTCAGGGTACCTATGCTTCCCACAAAACACACCGCCGCAGCGGCACTCAAACCCCTTCGGTCCAACCCTTTTCTTGCAGCTCAAGCACCTCTTTTTCTCCGACGAATCCGAAGAACCTTGTGATGATTGTGAAGGCAAAGAAGAAATAACAGCTGCGGTAGCAGTGGAGTTTGAGACAATGAGGGGTTTGTCCATTGAAGCTAAACCTACTATGGCTGCAGGCTTAGCAAACTGCTCTTCTTTTAGACACTCTCTGTAGCACTTTGAGCACATGTTCATGTTTGTCACAGAGCCAAAGAAGCCGCAGCGTTTTGCGCAGCGTGGAGGCTCCATGTTGATGTCGTTTCGTGACTTCATATTTGGGTTCTGGAATATCTTTTTGTTTCTTTGGCAATCACACTAGGGAAGTGGAAAAGAGAACTTGAGACTTCGGACGAAGAAGTGAATGCTCTTGATCAACTAAACTATAAGCCCTCGCAGCGTAGTTCTACTTCGAAGAAGTGAATGCTCTTGATCAACTAAACTATAAGCCCTCGCAGCGTAGTTCTACTTCTTACTGGGGATTCAGGATTAAGCTTCTTAATTAATTAGGTTTTGAGTATTAGTGAAGAGGTTTGGCAAGTATGTGAGTGGTTTTATATTGCGAAGGGGGCGGTCGTACTTAGTAGCGTAGGATTATGACTGGTATGAATTTCCTTTTCTTCTTAGGATTGGTTTCTAATTTCCCTACTCTGTAAAGATTTCTAAATGTTTTTTATTTCCTTCTTTTTCTTGTAAGTTGGCGGAGTGCAACTTTGTTCACTCCCGTTAATTATCGTCAGATTAGTTAAGTTTAATTGATTTAAAACACGAAATTCAAAATTTAAACTAATCTAACGACAAACAATGAAAAAGTTAAAGTCACTCTCACTGTAAGAGGGTGAGCCAAAATGCACTCAAGTTGGTGGGTATTTTGGGGATTTTATCATAACCATTTGATGTTTTAAATTTTAAGGGCTTCTTTTGCACACATCATCCATGTAGTGTATGTCAACGATACTATGGTGAAAATTCTTTGGACCATTATGTGCGTCATTTTCAAGGGCAAGAGCATCTTTTCAAGTCAAACTTATAGATCGAAAAAATAAAAAAGAATGACCCTAAGACAACAAGGCATTCCACTTTGCGACGGTCAGAAAGAAATGTAATACAGTATTACTCTTACTTTACAAAGAGGCTGATCATTCCACTTGTCATTTTGGTCAGAAAAGAGCAAAATGAAATCAAGTGAACTAATCCATCAATTACTAATAAGCTCTGAATGAATACAGTAAACACAAGTGGTCGATGATGTGTACCCATTTTCCCAGGTTTAAACGAGTTGAAATCAAGTAGAAAAATATAATACAAGCACAGAGCAGGTATGCCTAATCTACTCGAAGATGGTTCAGTTAGCTTGAAAAATGTTAGTTGCAAATTTCTAACCCACCAGCGTCAGTCCTTAAACCCCCTTAGTATAAAACACGCACTGCAACACCCTAATCAGTAGACAAGCAACTGAGTCTGATGGCAAACTCTTACAAGAAGCAGGTAAGAGAGCCACCTTCAGTTCCTTTTCTATGGGAAGAAAGGCCGGGAATCGCCAAAAAAGACTGGAAACCGGAGTTTTCTTCGAGTTGTTCATTTCCGCCCCCTCCGGTCAAGTTTATAGCCTGTGTCCCGTTTGAATGGGAAGAAAAGCCAGGAACACCGCTACCATCTTTCTCAGAACCAACAACGGAATCAGTATCTCCTCTGCAGCCGCTGATGCTTCTCACTTACCCGTCACCTCCAACAAGCGCTGCCTCTCACCAACATTATCATGATGGTAAGCATGAAGATTACAATGGCGATGGAGAAGAAAGTATGCTTCAGTTGGAGTTTGAAGCATTTGATTTTGAAACAGATGATTCATTTCGCTCAGCTCCTTCTCTACTCGCAAACTGTCTTGTTCCATCCGCGGCACTTTCTACTGCTATTCCAGCACATGAAACCAGAGTCACCACACCAACAGAAGATAAGCGTGATTGGCCCGAGACACCTTCCTCACCGGCATCAGATTCAGGGCAGCAGTACTAGCAGCTATGCAACTGGAGCTTCAAGCCTGGTGGGGGCTTCGTTTTTGGAATGCCTCTTTCCACTGATTCCTGCCAATGCTGGATTTCTTGAAAAAACGGGGCAATCAGACAAAACCTCTCTTGCTCCAACAGAAGCAAATAGTACATATTTTGATCGCGAAAGTAATGGCAGTGCTATTTTTAGGAGGCCGAGAACACTTGGAGAGCTGATAATGATGAGTCGACGGAGTAGTTGCAGGAGGAAAGCTGTTCAAATGAGAAAACACAATTTCTCAATGGTAAATTTCTGTTCTTACTCTTACGTTCACTGTTGTTTTCTAAGTTTATTTGGTTTCTAAGCTACTCCGGAACAAACATGGCTGTACCAAATACTAGTTTCATATAGATTCAGAAAACGAAAGAGAATTACATATATCAACTGTAGGTCATTCCTTCTGACAGCACCAAGATTTCATAAACTGTTACTCTTTCCTGAATGCATCAATGACAGGAACTCATGAAGAATAAAGGTTTTGGATGCGGTATCTTTGGAACTGGAATCAAGGTGATAGAAGGGCTCTACAGCAAGAGGAAGAACTTGCCGACGCTAAAACTGATGTGAAGAAAAACACTGCTTAGAGTTTAAGCGAGCTACGCAGCTTCCAGTCAGCCCTCCAGATGATGAAAAGTATATAGCTGTCCAATATGTACCAAATTTCGTACTATGCAAATACCTCAAGCGAGCTACGCTTGAATGTGTGTGTAACTTCAATATCAAATCTGTGATTATCCACAACATACCCCTCTACTAGAGTTATATCAGCTTTGACTTATAGAACAACGCCAAAAGCACCCAAAGAGCTTTAAAGCAACAAATTTGAAAAAAACTTCAACTAACTAGAAGATTTAATTGTTTCAGTAACTTTCCGGATCCGGTCTATAACTACAGGAACATCCTCTGGAGTCAAAGTAGTAAAACAACATCTGAACCATCCTGGTTCTATGCAATGGCAGGCTGAACCAGGAGTCACATTGATCTTGGCAGTGTTCAACAGCTTATCCCATAACTCGAGTTCCCCCTTCTCACCATAAGAGCGAATTAATCCACTCATATCAGCCCAACAGTATAAACCAGCACTGCTCTTTGCACACTTGATTCCTAATTGTTGCAAACCAGCCACAAATAAATCGTACAAATCTTTTACCCGCTTTTTGTTGATCTGTAGGTATTCCTGAATGAATCTTATATCTGAAAGCATCGAAATAATAAGCCGCTGGGTCAGAGAAGAAATGGGAGAAAATCTTGTTAACTTTTTAGCAGCAGCCAACACACTCTCATTATATGAATATAAAACCCCAACCCTGAATCCCGGAATAGATAGGTCTTTTGATAGACCATATATTATGTGAACCCTGCTCTTCTCAAAATCTTCTGAGTCAACAATTTCCGCCATGCTCACAAACTCCTCACTTCCATACATAGACCCGGCAAATATTTCATCAGAGATGACATGGATGTTCTTCTCTTGGGCAAAATCTAGAAGACTGCAGAGCATTTCCCTTGAAAGTAAATTACCCACAGGATTCGAAGGGTTAGAAATGAGAACTCCCTGCACCTTCACTCCTCGTTTTCTAGCTTGACCGTATGCTTGATCTAGAACAGTTATATTCAAAGTGAAGTTGTCAGTGCTGCGACAGTGGACAGGAATCAGCTCGACTCCTGTTCGCCATCTCATATCCCTGTCAAAACTGCAAGTGTGTTTTTCTAATTAACTGCTGCAGAAGATTTGTGCAAACAATTATGATATCTGCATTGACTAGGAAAATGGGTTCTAGCAATACTGAGTTTCAAAGAGACTGACAATTATTACCCAGGATAATAAGGTGTAGGAACGAGAAATGCATTTCCATGGTCTGCTAAACAGAAGCTTAATATCTCGACTGCGGGGGTTGCACCAGATGTTAACACTATTTGGGATGGGTCAAATGACACTGATCTTCCCATGATCTGAGACATAAAACTCGCCATAGCCTGCAAATCCAGAAAGAGGATTTTTATTTTTTATCATTTACATGAAATTTAACAACACTAGCAATCCAACACAGTTGCACTTCTTTTCAAAAGTCATAGAATTGAATCATATTTCCTAAAATATTCTTCAAAATCAGAACCTAGAATGACTACAGCCACAAATATTTGCAGGCCACATGCTTCAATCTCATGAATCAATATGATGAAAGAACGAAAGGCTACGAAAATTCAAAGCAATGTAGCATAGCACTTTGCAAATTGGGTAGTGCTATCCGCACACCAATTTTTATACTTCTCCCTCTCAATTTTCGGCCATTGGAAAAATGGGCGTGTAAATAACACTATCCTACAAATTACGCAACCGAAACTATATCAGAAGAGCGATTATACCGTATTAAAGTACCATCTCACTAAATTATCCAACAATGTTTCAGAGATTAGAAACAATCATACCACTTTCAGCTCAGTCATTCCATCAAACGGCTGGTACGCTGCAATCCCACTTATGCTGAAATGACCACCCTCCGTTCCCACAATCGATTCCATCAAATTCTCCGAAACCCATTTCTCAATCAAATCCAAACACAGCTGCAACCACACCCAGAAAATTAAAAAGTCGAACTTTACATAAAGTCCCCTGCGAAAACATAAATTACATAAAACCCAACAAAATCTCACCCTGTTCTCGGACAATCCGAGTTGAATAACCCCATCCGGATTATCCACCCTATCGTACGGGTCCTCCGAAGCCCTGTCCAACCCGATATAGTACGGCGAGTCGTTGGGCTTCGCAACCCAGCTCGCCCGGGAGGATATCCGGACCCGGCCCATGGACCCGCGGGTGGACAAGCTGGACCGCGACAGCGTTCTGGGGAGCTCCGCCAGGTTGGAGGAGGACTGGGAGGGGGAAGGTGGATCGGGTTTGGAGGGTCGGCGTCGTTTTAGGTAGAGCTGGAGGCAGTAATAGAGAGCACATGGGATTAGAGAGCCGAGGATGAGGCCGCCTCTGCCTTGGACGACGCCTTGGAGTGGCACAATCAGTCTCATCGCGGTGACTCCGGTGGGCTTGTTTCGCGTTGGGTCGGAGTCGGGTTCGCGGGTCCGGGTCTCGAGCTGTAGTGGGAGGGTTTTGCGTTGGCCGTTGGTTGGCGTGGAGGGGTAGAGCGAGATTCGAGAGCCCTGCGAGGGAAGTGTGTGTTTTGCAGTTTTGCTTTTAGAAACTTTTGGTCTGTTTATGATTGGCACCTGCCAGTTTCGATCTTTGCATCTTTTGTTGGCGTACAAACTTCATTCTTCTATCTCTACTAATTAATAAAACACTTGTTATCAACTAAAATTCTATAAAATTATCAGTTTAATCATCTAATTAAAACAGAATATGAATAAGAAATATGAGACAAAGATGTAATTTTGCACAACCAAATTTTACTTTTTTTTCAAAACTTCACCTACATGTAATCTTAACATATCTCTAATTAAAAAAAAAATAAAAATTAAAAAAAAAACTTCTCACTGCCCCATTTTCTATCACTCTCTTCCTCTCTTCTTCTATTTAAAAAAACAAAAATAAAAATTTTTCTCACACACTTTGTGTGTGCCCATATGCTAGTAATAACAAAAAGAACGAAATTTCATTCATTTTGGGGGTAAAGATGTATTTTTGAATCAAATGCTTTTCTTATCATATTTTTCATACTGTATTTGTAACCGTAGAAACTTTTAAGGGAAGTGATTCCTTTTTTTTTTTTTTACTTTATACAAATGAGGATTAGTTGTAGAGTACACACCATATCGAACTTCAACGATCTAAACCTTCTATTTTTCAAGTTGCACTTCATAAATCATCCTTACAAAATATTAACCAAATCGGAAATGTTGAAGACATTTAATTGAGTTCGAAGAAATTAACGAATATTTTTTTGGATGAATCCAGGGTATCCCCACACGTAGGCGAGGACTAATCCCTCGAGCTGGGTCGGACCGCATTCGGGGGCAAGCTCTCCCAATACTGGCTTCTCCATTCACAAGACTCGAACTCGAAACCTTGCTTCACAATACTTTGTTTTATAAAAAACAATGAAATTTTATCTTGATAATTAAATATGTAAATGGTTTCGGATTGAATCGAATTTTTGTATGGATTATCTATGAATCGAGACTTATAAAATAAACGCTTTGGATCAGTGAAATTCGATATGGAGTAGGCTCCACACTTAATCCCCATTTTTTGAAAAAAATAGAGATCTTTTTGCATAAAGGGCCGTTATTTAATAAAGATGAGATACACATGTATATGGATCCTAATTCTATTAGAGAGATTGAAAAAAAATTTAATATGCTCAAAACAGTAGTTGTACCATATGTCATGATACAAATACTATATACTTTTTGATAATTTGAGCACACTGAAAAATATCTGTGAAAGATGATAAAATGTAAACGACTTCATGAATGATGGCAGGCCTACCAAATATCAAATAGCGGTTGTTTATTTATTTGTCAAACCCACCTGGTGCAATGGTTGGTGTGGTCTCACTTGTTGACCTCAACGACTGCTATTGCTACAACATAGTAATTTTCCAGCTCAGCTGCCTACATTACAAAGATATAAACTTTGTTTTTATTCATCTCCGACTCTCATCTCCGATCGCATTGTTAATCACCTCTCTAATTCGAGTAAATGGTTGAGTCAACTCATCACATCACTTTCATAGATTCGGTCTCCTTGCAATGTAGAAAGTCATCTGCAACCTAAGCAGAAATATTCCACCACAATTTATTCGTGCTCTCTGTTGATAGGGCGTTTAGAGCAGTTGCCAAGTTGGATTTCAAATCTTCAACACCTCGTCAGGGTAACGATTATTTGGTTAAGGTTGTGAGATTCCCCATTAAAAGCCCTTCAAAATCTACCTAATCTGTTGGAGCTAGTTTTGAAAATCAATGCATATGACGGTGTGCAGCTGCATTTTGAGGAAGGAGGATTTCAGAAGCTGAGGCATCTGGAACTCAGGGACATGGAGGGACTAAATTCATTGATCATAGACAATGGGGTTATGCCTCTTCTCCAAGAGTTTCACATTGGACCTTCCCCACAACTGAAGGAGGTGCCCTCTGGCATCCACCGTCTCCGAAAGCTGAGATATCTTGCTTTCTTTGACATGCCAAAGGAGTTTGAACGACATATGGATCCAAATAATGGACTGCAACATTCGATTGTTGAACATATACAAGATGTCCGCTTTAGTTACAAGTTCGGACCAAGATGGGGTTGTATATGAAACTCATGCCCTACGTGATTCCAACTTTTCTTTTTGGTAGAAGATTCCGACTTGTGAAACCAAGCGTGGGAATGGGATGCTCTCTTTTTGTACAATTTTTGGTTAGAGGTTTAGGAGTCATTAAGAGTTGGTTGTTAGCTCTGGTATCCTAGTTTCTCTTGCAGGTTGACTGGGAGTGGCTCTTTCTCTTTGGTTTTCTTTGTGTCGTCCTGTCGAGTAACCTTCCTAGCATTTTCCTTATAATTTTATTAGTGGTTGCAATAAAACTGTTTGTTTATAAAAATTAAAAAAAAAAAAATGTATCGTCGCCTCAAACTCAAACTCAGAATGCTCAAATGTCATAATAAAATTTCATTGAACTTTACGTAAATGAATCAAGTTTTTACAAAGATAAATGTCAACTATTTACCTCAAATCTTTGTTGTCCAACTATGCAAGGTCTCTCCTTCCATTAATGGAATTCATTCTCAACATGTTCTCTCACGTATGGTGAATTTTCAATCCGAACATGCAGACAACATAAACCGGGTAACGTAGAGCATGTGTGGCCGTTGGATTTCACACGTGGGACAATTTGCTCTAATACCATGAAGAAGTTGGAGTTTCACCATAAAATCAATTGGCATTATGGAGAGTAGTCCAACTACTTATATTTACATGCAAGGTCCCTCATTCCATCAATATAGAATTCATTCTCAACAGTAATAAAACTGAAGAACGTGATTTAGTAAACTAAGGGCTGGTTTGGTATTGCTGTGCTTTGAAAAAAAGCTGCTTCTGCTGTGCTGTGAGAATAAGCAGCTGTGAAATAAAGTAACATAGTGTTTGGTAAACTTTTTTGTAAAAGTGCTTTTTGAAAAAAAAAAAAAAAAGCAGTATTATAGTGTTTGGTAACCTTTTATGTAAAACAGATGTGAAAAAAAGCCGGTTTTTCAAAGCTGGGTTTTGCAGCTTCTTTTTTTTCATTCAAAACTGTGAAAAAAATTTGAAACTGAATGTTTACCAAACACAAAAATAGCTCCCAGCTTTTTTTGATACTAGCTTTTTTCAGAATCACCTCAGTACCAAATTAGGCCTAAATCTTACCATTTTTCATCATAGATGAGGCAAGCATTGACCATTAAGGTGGTGCTAGCTGAGCTACTGAATAATAACAAAAGGAAAAAAATTTCATTCCTTTTGGGGGTAAAGATGTAATTTTCATCAAAATGTTACTCTTGTCACATTTCATATCACCTTTGTACCACATCTACAATAGAGAGAATTTTTTTAGTGTCTGAAACACGAGCACCTACATCATATGTCATTATACATGTGAAGAAACACTTGAAAAAAAAAAAAAACTTCTCAACACTTAGTACAATAACATATGGGATGCCGTCCGTATTTTGAACACATTGAAAATTCTCTCTTAATAGAAATATGACCACATTTGTTGAAGGCCTTCTTCTATTAAAAAATATGATAATTTTGAATTGAAAATTTGAAAGGCTTGACGAATGACGGCAGGCCCACCAAGTATAAAGTGGTGGTTGTTTATTTATGGGAGAGTGCTTGATTTTAATTTTCATTTGGTTGTGCTACCTCTTATGAATCTATGTATGAAGGGTGGAGATTTTTGATTTGCAGGATCTACTTCATTAATTTGTTGCTCTAGAATCATGGTGGTGATTAAGTGATGCGACAGACCTATGAGCATAGTACTCCCTATCACAATTCATAGTTTGAGATTTTGTTCTCACATGATCACCATGTAACATGAAGTTTCACATTTTATTTGTTTAATCATGCGGTTCCCAATGAGCTCAGATGAGTGGTTGAAGTCTACTTATTGCTTTGCAATTAGTGATGCTTATTGTACTATTTTTAGATCTAGTTTATAAAGACCCTTTTAAAGCCAATTTCTTCATGATATATATTTATAATGTTCTTCTATAAATGAATGAAAATATCATACTCTTCTTGATTAAAATAAAATAAAATAAGAGAGTTTGGGTAGGTATTACTATTGATGCAAAGCCACAGGCAACCTTTTTGGCTTTGGTAAGGCAAACCATTAGAGCATCCCCAGCGTGGGGTTTTGCTCGAGGGAAGGGGTCCAAAACAATGGCCCGAGGGCCAGTGGCGTCGCTCCAGCGTGGGGGAGCCGGATAGAAGGGGGAGGCCCGAGTCACGGGCCCGTGAGGGATTGCCAGGCCTTGAGCCCGAGGTGGGGGTGACGCAAGGCTGAGGCCAGGGTGGCGTCAGGGCATTATTTAAATTTTTTTGTGTCAGGCGCGTGCACCCCACCCGCGCGTGGGGGCGCGTCGCTGACACAAAAATCAGAAAAAAAAAAGTGTCAGTTACCGTTGGGAAGCCACGTGGCTTCCCACGGTGCGTTAGATCTTAACGGTCACTTAATGTGGACCATTAGATCTCAACGGTAAAAAAAAAAAAAAAAGGTCAGATTTAATATCCACCGTTCGATCTGAGATCAACGGTGGATATTAAAATGCTTTATAAATTAAAAAATAAATGAAAAAATAGTTTTAAAAATCTGAAAAGTTACCGTTTTGACACGTGGCACAATCTGAAGTGTTGGAATTCAAATTTTTTTATATCCAACGGCAGAGATTAATTAATTGAATAAAAATTTAAAAAAATTGTAAAAAATTCAAAAAAATATCTGAAAAAAATTGTAAAAAAATTCTTCCTCTTCCTGATTGAATTCCCACATCGTTCTTGAGAAAGAAGAAGAAGACATTGAAAGAAAGAAACAAAAACTATGAATAATGATACAGATTTTTGTGAATAAGGAAGCAGAAACTATGAATAATGATAGAGATCTTGAGAATTTTGGTGTGAGATTTGTGAGGATGGATGGTGGATTATATAGAGGATTCAGAAAGGATTAGGTTGTGCATAATGCCACGTGGCATGCCGTCATTCGTTACAAATCTGATGTAAATCTATCCTCAAAGATTGTGAACAGATTATGACACGTGGCATGCCGTCATTCG